TATATATATATATATGACTTGCTTTTTTAACGCTATTTAAATTAGAATGAGACATACCTAAGGTGAACGAGGTAGCGCAGTGTTTTGTCCCGCAGTGTTCTTTGACGTAAAAAAGTATGAGATCGCGGCGGCATATCAGATAGATCGTACAATACTACGAACATCTTAACAACTGTACCCAGTGGATTGAGAAGAGTTACTTGGATGGTGCCATTTCTTGGTACCTGATAGCCCTTTTTCTCAAGATTAATATGAGCCTGCAAAAATAAAGAAATCTTTAATATCTCGTTATCGAATAATAGTTTAACCATTGTTTACATATCCTTGAGATTTTATCTCACCTGTGCTTATATGTGATTATTTATTATTTATAAATAATATACCCACATATGACAAATATTATTTATAACAGCAATTATATACAACATATGTTGTCGCTTAAAATACGCGTGAATACCTTATTGATGATTTATTTCTAAAAAAACGTACAAGGTATGGTGTGGAGACTTTGTCGTTGTCACCGAGCGTATAGAAGAACACAGTGACTGGAAGCTTCTGGTGTTTCGGGCAAAAGGAACCGCTGGCCCCAAGTTCCGCTGTGAAACCGTGAACCGTAGACACCGGCTCGAGTCTGCCGTTCAACGCCGATTCCTCAAAACTGCCTAGAAGAGCGTGACTCTGTGGTCGGTGGCGAGAGTTGGAGCGTCTCTTAGGTGTCTCTTCGCCCTCACCGGCAGTCTCTGTCTCGCGATCAGTTTCTTCCAATGAGACCGCACCTGGACTCGGCGGCGTGTTCAATTCAAACAACGCACTGAAACGCGAAACGTCGTTTTAGAAAAAAAACTTAAGTTGTGACATCAACTGATGACGGCATCAATGAAAAGTATTACAATTGCATTTTTCAGCAATTTCGATTATAATCATTTTTCAATGCTATTTTATCACCAAATAATATTCTTCAAAAAGTATCTTGTAACTCTAAACATGTAATTTTATACCGTGTAATATTTTATCTCTAATATAACAACGCGCGGTAAAAAATCTTTGGAGGAAAAAATTTATCAGATAAATAATTCTTCTAAAAAAAAAAAGATCACAATTTTCTTGCAATTATATAATAATACTGTTCACTGATTGCCGAATATTCTTTTTCACAATATTCCGATAAACTTCACACTTCATACTTTCTTTTCGAGGAGACGGAATTCAAGCTGCTGTCATAGTCGAAGCAACAGCTGCCCCTCCTCAAAGGTGCCGGACTGGAAGTCAGCGGCAGACCAGTTCTACTATGGAACACCATTGATGCCGCATTCTCCAGAGATTTGCGGAATCTCTCTTGCTCGAGAGCGGACGGCACGCTCTTGTCGACAGTCTCGTCGTCTCCCGTCTCCACGATATCGTCCTTGTTATTGTTGTTTCGTACCTTGGAAGACGAGTGTTCGCTCTGCGGAGTGGTCGGGCTAGTCGAATCGTTCTTCCGATGAACAGCAACAATGTCCCTCGCGGTTTTGCATTCTCCATCCTCGACCTCAGAGGATTCGTTCGTATCCTCGAGTAACCGTCTGTCGTGATGATTCTGTTGGTTATTTAGGCCCGCAGAATCATTATATTCGCGATCGTTGCTATTTGTACTATACATTTTGCGTGAGTTTTGATGTGCGTCTTTTGTACTGAGTCTCGGAACTATCGTTGCAGCCTCTTTTGCCTTGCCGATCTCCTCTGTAAAGTTCACAAAGTCGATTCGCCGTTTCGCCCGGCTGTTTCTCGCATTGTGCAGATTCGGCTGTTCGTTGTTGTAGCGTAACGACGTCAAATCGAAGCATTGTGACAGATGCGCGTAACTCGGCGAGCTTTCCGGCGAAAATGGGCTCTCTTGCGCCATCATGGCAATCCTTTTATCCATTTCTTTCTTGAACAATTGCCGGAACCGATGGAATCTCTTATTCAATGGCAATGATTTCTCGTCGTTGGACGAGATGGCGGATGTCCTATGATCCTGCTGATTGGTGCTCGAAGAATGAAGATCATCGTCGCTGCTATCATTGTCGATGTTAGTCGTTGATCTCGATCTGGTCCCGTTTGATGAGATATCCGACAGGCCCTTTTGAGGATCCTTGGTAGTCCGCAGAATCGCTCCAAGCAGCACGTCCGCTTTAGTGGATACGTTCCGCAAGCGGTCCGCGTTTTCCACGCGCGGATTCTCGTTTAATCTATTAGTATTGTTACAAGTAAGCTTCGAGTGCGCTGAATGATAAACGTTCAAGTCGTAACAGACTCGGTCCAAAGGGCTCGACTGCTCTTCCGGTACTTGATGATCTATTTTCTTACATAATCCGCGGCTACAATCCTCGCAAGATTTAAGGGGGCGAACTCGGACAGTTCCAATGTTGCGATTTATGGAGTTACTCCCAGCTACTCCTTCATTGGAATTTGCGCACTTCATCGAAACCTTCTCCACTGCATCGTCATAGCCTCTCTCATTGGGTCGCTCTCCGCGTTTCCTCACATTCTTGACAGTGGTTCTTCTACGTCCCGACGGTGTTCTTGCTCGCAATACCGCCAACACTTCGTCAACCTCACGCTGACTCAATTCTAAATTACAGTTCTTGAATTTGATCTGGTTGGCGTCTTGTTGTCCAGTTAAACGCTCCGGTTGTTTTAAATTTCCGTTTTTTGTCTTGCCGCTATCGACGTAACCCTTGGTAGCTGCAACACTCAAAACTCTTCCGGGTACCTTGCTAAACCAATCAAATAATCCCCCCTCTTCCCTCTTATCTTTCTCGTCGGAAGACGATAGCGTCCACATCAACTGACCTCGCTTACCGGCTTTCCTCTGATTATTCTTGGCGATATTATCTTCTTTGTTGACCTCTAACGCATCTTGACCGGTCGATACTCGCGCCTCCGCAACTATCTTATTGACATTCTTGGAGCAACTCTGATGTACAGTGCAAGCGGAGTTATCTAGCTTCTGCAACAATTCATACGTTGACGGACCGGGATTCGATTCGTGGAAAGGATTGGGCTGAGCATAGGGTCCGGCCGGAGCGTGACTGGACACATCCGCAAAAATCGGCGACTTATAATTCTTCTCGGAATCATTGAAGCGGATCTTCGCGCCGCGAAAACTCTGAAATTTGCTATTCATATTACTGTTTTGCCAGGAAGAAACAAAGGACCAACTGACAGGAGCGAAGGTACTCCCGAGATTGTCTAATAGTCCACCGCTTTTCGCCGTAGATGTAACCTCCGACGAGCCACCGGGCTCAGTTCCAGAATTGTTTAAATTCTTAACAGAATTATTGTAGCTTTCCTCAATTCGATTAACGTTGATCTTCGAATTGACAATCTCCGGGACTTCTTCGGTAGTCGCGCGCTTGCAACGTTTTTCCAAATTGCCATCATCCTTCTCGATTTTCAGCTGCATCTTGAACCAACGGTCCAAATGATCCGAGTTCAGGTTGTTACGAGTCCTCACCTCGTCTCTGTTCTCCGATTTATTCTGTAGAGTCCGCGTAACGCTACGATTGTTGTTTGCCATCTCGATAGAGCCTCCCGAATTTAAGCTGGACGAGTTGATGTTGTCTTTTATCTCTTGTAGAATGTATTCTTGAACGGACGGTAACGGCGCGGATTGCAAGGTTACGCAAGGACTCTCCGCCGGGCCGCAGGGAAGCGATCGGCGACGTTTCCGTTCGCCATTAGATCTAATGGTGGGCGATAAAGGAGATGTATCCTCCTCCTCGCAGCGACAATCATGCTTGCCCGATTTATTGCAGGTAGTCTGCAGTCTGTCGTCCACCAGAACTATAAAGAAGATGGTTTATACAATTTATACTCTTTTTTTATCTCTTGATGATTGGCGATTGTCCAAATATCAAAATCGATTCCTGCCGCTTAGACGAATCTAAATTAAATAACTGCACGTAATAATATACGTTTTTGTAAGTTTTTGCAGGTTGGTCTCGAATTCAAGAGAACAACATGAGAATGTGAGAATTTAACCGATACCTGTGTGCTTGTTTGTGAACACGCATAATAATTGTCACAAGAATCAATTTATAAGATGACGATGCGGCAATTATGGGATCTCCGCGCGAGTGGTTCATTACCAGGCAAGACGAGGCCCTCGAGGTTTTGCACACCGACTGATCCCAACGGGATGCTCTTTGTGGGCGTTAACGCCCTCGCGATGTCTTCCTCATCTTTTTCCTTTTTCGGATGCAGCGAGCATGTGAGCACAGGCATTTCCTCCATCCGCGGCAGTGCCCAAACCGTTACCTGGAATGAAAATTTACATTGATCGAATCGATTGCATTGATCGAACCAACATAAGACAATATATAATATTTGTATCATGTATAATGCATAATAATACAACGCACAAATAACGTTACAAATTTCATGTACCTTGATGGAATTTCCGTCGCCGTTACCAGCCAAGGGGAAGGTATGCTCCACTGGCGTCTCTCGGAATCTATTGAGATTATCCTCGGTGTGCGGCACGATCCGGGTGGCAATGTAGCTTGGCTCCGCGCCGTTGCTGCGCGACCACCATGCTGCGACTTGACTGAAGTGCAACCGCGAACGCACTGCCTGGTATAATCCTTGGAAATTCATTGGTTCTGAGTTCCTGAAAAAAGCAATACAGTGTGATCGAGAAGAAAAATATCTACTTCTTAATCTAAATATATCACTAACAATAAGATTGAGAGGCTCGAATTAAATCGAAGAGACAAAAATAAATACGAGCAAATCCAGAATGAATACATTTTTATCAGAATGTTATTTCTTAAACAAATAATTGAAAATAAAGCTGTGCTGCTCTTCACATTTAAATTGATTGTCTGCGCATCAATAACTGCGATTGACTCATATGCGTCTTTTCATTCTTTCCATTTGATTTTCTAATTATACCTTGCGGCAAAGAACGAAGTATTTGTGACTTACTTGCTCGGGACAACGCAGATACACCAGTATTCCAGTAACATTTCCGAAGCACATTTTTTCCATGGCGAGATGGATAAGGACGGCACGGGGTACACGGGATATTTGCATGTGGACTTTCCCAAGCCGCACGGACAGTCGCTGCACAGAAGCACTTCCACGCATAGATAGGACCCGACGAAGAGACGTTCAGCGATTTCTTGAACTAGTACTCGGTATCGATTGCACTTGAAAAATTAAAGAAAATAATCTTGTATTGATTTACTCTTTACTTTTTGTAATTATCTTTTTTAATACTACAAAAATTCTTTTTTGCTTTTACTAGTATCGTTTTTTTTTTTTTCAATTAATATTAGTTTTTCTATAATTGTGTGTTTATCGCCATCATTTTATTCAATTGACAAATTTGCGCATAAGAGGGTAAATATATATTATGTCATCTAATTATTTCTTGATATATCTGACATTTTATTATTCCATGTAGAACCTGTAAATGTAAAGATTCGCGAATTATTTCGCTTAATTGACAAACAAAGAAATCTCCTCGCTCGTTCTATAGCCCGCTGGGAAAGCAGCGTAAAAGTAGGTCGCCTAGGAACAACGGAGAGTAACGGGGACACCATATGTTACTTACCAGATAGTTGTTCTCGTCGCACACGTGGTCGTTCGGAACCGCCTGCATAGGCGGTGCACAGTGTGGGCCCTCTTTGTAGCCACGCGGAGGGCCCTGGATTCTCCCTTCGCACACAAGGACTCCAAGGGCTCGAAACACGCTGAGAACACCACCCCGGCCGCCAGCCCCGTTCGGGCTGGAGGTGCCACCTCCTGTCACCGCGCCTAGGCAGTGCATACCTGTAATCCAAGAAGAAACCATGTGTTCATTGTCGCGATACATCGTGAATTTAGCGATAACTTAATCAGGCGATAATTAATGCTATCAATAAATCGGGGAATAATATTTTGGAAAAATCAGCTGTGAAAAGTAAATAAATGTAACAAAAACATACAGAGATTATAAAATAATCAAGTAGTTATAGATAAATAATTTATTGCAATAAATGTTTATAGCGACTCGTAGTGATTCTGTGTTTCGTCTTAAATAAGTATTAAAGTTTCGAGACTTGTGCTATTGTTGCACTCAATTCCTCAATTTATTTCTCCCAATTAGGGACAGTTAGAAACAATTAATTAAATCTTCTTTCTTTATTCACCCTATTGGAATGATTTTTATTTAAACAGAATGTCATTTTAAATATCGGTCACGAGAAAATACTTGAAATTAAAAGTTAAAAAACTAATGAAAAGATTCTTATCGCAGAAGAATCTAAAATGTTCAAAAAAACTAAAAGGAAAATTATTGTTATTTTTGTGAATATCTGAAAAGTGCCTTATATAGGAAATGGCGTGAGATTTATATCATTTTTAGGCAAAATCTGCGGAAATAAAACAGGAAAAAAGAAAAAGGTAAATTAAAATTTTCAATAAGAGTGCGTGAATTAAAAGAATGCTGAAATTCGTGAAATTTTAAATTTTTTGCTGTAGATATCGGACGAGAAAAAAAGAACGAGGGTTAATCCCACTGTATAACACTCTGTACTTTCAGCGATATTTACTTGTAAACCTTTCGACGGTCCTTATATCTCGCTCGCGGAAGGTTTATCACCAAACACAATCGAGATTGTTTCGCGATCTTGGGGCGCGGGTCAACGTGCTCGGGACGGCTCGTAGGAGTGCCTCTTGAATTTTTGTCGTCCCTTTAAATTTGTTGTTGTGTCACGTCCGCAGGACTGGTTATAGCCGCGATCGCGCGTACGTACAACACGTGACGAAAGAAAACAAGGTGTAGTTCGCAACGGGTTCCAGGTTTCCCGGACGGTTAGTACAACCAACATCGGTAAGACCGATGCGGCTTGCGCATCGCCGACTCGCGAGTCTCGTTGACGATTTCTGCGCGTAAACGTTTTCGACGCTTCCTATATAAGCAGCGTGGCGTAGTGCGTTTATTATAATAAGTCACGGGAGTGGAAACCGCAGTCTCGACGGAGTTCAAATTTCGCTGCTGCGTATACGAGAAAATGAGCCGCGTGACATTTCCGCTGCGTATTGTTGTTTTTTTTTTTTTTTTTTTTTTTTTTCTTTTAAATTTTTTTACCTTGAAGATAAACTTCGTTATTTTTTTTATATCTTGTCTGTGTCTGCGATGTCGGAAAAAAAAGTTATATCAATTTTGTGATATACTTGTTAGATTAATATAACAAATTTTGCGACATTTCTTTCTTATTTTATCAGAAAATCAAGGGTATTAATCATATGTCATTATTTGACAATTTCTTGTGCTATCAATAAGCCAAGCGTTTTACATGTAGATATCAATGATGAGGCATACAATTTATAAAATGGAAATCATTTAATTTATGAAATAATACAATTGTGCAAATACAAGTTGCGATCGAACGATTCATTGGTAATATACTTTGGTTGTTCCCAAAATTATTATTATCTTGATTTTGAGACGAATATCGATTAAGTAATCAATTATTATCAATTACGATTCTATCCACAAACAAGATAAGTAATACATCTTCCGCAATAGATAGCGTTAATTGCTGAAGTACATTGATGCAATTGATCATATTTAGAAGAAAAGATTAGCATTCGCGCGGAGAGAAAAATAATAAACACGTAAAATAAACAGTAGAGCCACACATATTTTATGTAACATACAAAAGATTCGTTTCTTAATCATTTTTTAAAATTAAATTTTCACCTACATCTCTGTCATGTTTTCGAAAAATTTTTGACTGAAAAATACGTCCGTCCCTTTGATTTTCAGAAGATCAGACATTATCGGGAAAAACGTACGGAAAGCAATATCGTATGCGGATGAAAGAAAATTATTCAGCATATACTAGGTGCACGCGATCGAACATCTCGCGACCGGGTGCTTAACGTCGCGTTATATAAACGGAAAGCTAGCACACGAGCGGAAACTCGAGGTCTCTTAATATCTACTCTCGCTGCCCGCGTTACGTCAGCGAAACGCACACGTTCGTGCGGTCTGGCTACCGCGGTATTTTTTTTTCGTCCTTCTGATTTTATCAGACAAGAAAGACGGAACAAAGAGCACGCTGCGACACGTGCAGCATAATTACGTTTCATTTAACATAATTCGCATTTCGCGCACTTTAAATTGATAAAAACGCAATATATCTTGAAAACTCAATAATTCAAAAATTTCAGAAAATTTCTTCGACATATGTGTACATTGAACAATGAACCACGGATAAACTGGCGCCGAGGCACTTGAGCCGTTCCTGAACGTTCGTATTAACAGGGGGAAACGATTGAGCGCGTTGCGGGGGAAGAGGGGAGGAAGGAGAGGGAGAGCGGTGTGTATCGATGGCGTCGTCAGCTGAGCGCACCGCTCACAGCTGGGCGCGAGCGACGCTGCTGTCGCCGAACAGCTGATCGCGTCGGCGCGCTGTCAGAACATGGCGAGCCAGCGCGCAGCGCGGATCTCGCGATAATTAGAATGCTTTCCATTTTCAGCTCGCCAGGCCTCCGTGATCTCAGAACCGAGTGTGGACATATTAAATACGTCCGCATTTATGAGTCAGGGAGATCTGTGAATCATGCGCGAGTTCTCTGACTCAGGGAGTCTGTACGATTCCTTTAATTACGATGACATGCGAGAGGCAAAACTCAACTGTGTTTCTTATTCAAGATAGACTTCAAATTAACTCTCAATATCACTATTATTAAGACGCTAAAAATTCATATCTCTAGTTTAAATCAAGATTAATTTATCCGAGATACGCTTAATAAAGGAAACCTTTGAGCTATTATCCTTTAGACTTAGCGTCATTTTGAGCGTGCAAACGATATTCACGCTTATTGCGGATGCGGGTAGGGTGAAGGGGTTAAAGGTTCTCTCTCTCTCTCTCTCTTTTATTTGAGAACACATCAAACATAATTATCTCGTCCTTCATTTATCTCTCACCAATGGCGTGAATAATAAAGGGCAAGATGTGCCATGTAGAGCTTGAAGAAAATAGAACCTGACAAGAAAACATAACATGACTCAATATGTCATGAGCACATATTAATGTCTTAAAGACGTACTAATTCTGATATCTTTGTTTGCTTATCCGAATCTTTCTTATCTCCTTTCTTTCGTGGGGGAGGGGGAGGGGGCTGCGAAAAAAAGTGTTATCTATAAAAATAAGTTTTAAAAAGAACATAACGCCGTGACAAACAAAGAAAAAGCCTTTTCGATTTTCTAAACTTGTTTAAATTTTAAAGTCTAAACAGTTTCTCTGTAAATAAACTTTTTGATTAACTTTTTTACTTCTATTCATTTTATCGAATATTTCTTTGTGATAGAAAAATATGGTAACGGATGAATTGACTTTGTCTGAGATATCGCGCGGCGTATACGTCGGTCGATCTTGTTCGTTCTTCGACTGGCAAAGGAACGCTTTCAAGACTGCCCAGAAATAAACTCGCTC